TTTTTTTTTCTTTTTGTAGTTGTCATTGCTGTTTGGCAGGCCCAGGCTGCAATTGAACCCACCAGCCCAGGTGTATGTGGCTGGCGCCCTTGCTGCTGAGCTACAGGCACTAAGCCATTAAATGCTTTTTCCTTGTGGTCTAAGCGTAGATTCTTTGATGGCATCTCTGCCTTACCTGCATATTGGCAGCCCACTTAACAGGTTCTAAAAGTTATGGTATGAGGGCCTGGGCTCCTGCTGACTCCCCTCACAGAGCATAGTAAAGACAGGACCCACACTCAGAGGCAAGAGAATGATACCTACTGACCAATGAAGTACCTATTAAAAGGACCATTTGTGATGCACTCTGAATTTTACAGGGAGTGGGAGATGCATTCTTAACTGTTCCACGTGGCTCAAAAGGGAACAGTGGCAGGTTTGAGGGAGTTCACAATCTGAATTTCAATTTTTTTTTTTTTTTTTTTTTGAGACAGAGCCTCAAGCTGTCCCCCTGGGTAGACTGGCGTGGCATCACAGCTCACAGCAACCTCCAACTCCTGGGCTCAAGCGAGTCTCTTGCCTCAGCCTCCCAAGTAGCTGGGACCACAGGCGCCAACAACAACGCCCGACTATTTTTTGGTTGCAGCCCTCATTGTTGTTTGGCAGGCCTGGGCTGGATTCAAACCCACCACCTTGGGTGTATATGGCGGGTGCCTTAGCCACTTGAGCCACAGGTGCCGAGCCACAATCTGAATTTCAAACATGACAGGGTTTCTATGTATATTAAAAGTGGGCTAGATTCCAGAAAGTAGTTGTCAGAGATTTACAGGGCTCTGTGCATCAGGGTCTAATGTTCAAAGAGAGAATCTTGAAACGTAAGTTGTTTTTCTAGTCTGAAATGTATCTTATGGAGAAAACTGGGAAATCCTGAACGCTAGAAATCAGTATTGGGTTTGATGACCAATGCTTGCTCACAAATAGGATCCTTAAAAGTAAACTGTGAATTGCTACAGTTTTATAGCTCCTTCTGAGATTTTGAACAAAAATAGCAGAATCTGGGCGAAGAAATAATTAAGATGGCACTTAAATAAATAACTTTCTTAAGGGCTGGGAGGAGTTTTGTCTGCTTTGTTCACTAACAAATCCCTAGTACCCAGAGCAGTGTCTAATACTCTGCAAGTACTCAACAAATTTATTATTATTACATCCTGGAGGAGAATAAGCTAATCCTTATTATTCTTATGGGAAAAATGAGGCACAGAGAAGCTGAATGACTTGGCCCACTCAATAGTGTCAAAGCTGGAACCTGAACTCAGGTGGTCTGACTCCACTGTCTAAGTGAAGTACCATGCTCTCATACAGAAATTTGCCAACTGAATGTCTGATTTTTGTCCAACTAGTAAGGTGTGAGCTATAATTGCTTGTTATTGCAGCTGTGTCAGTTTTAAAACTTATTCTCAGCTGACCTGCCTGCTATGGGAAAACATACACATACAACTCAAAATGTCTTCATGTTCTCATTCTAGCAAAAGTGTCACTTTCATAAAAAGTGCAATGATACCATTTTGTCGTGGATGTTCAAAGTTTTTGTAAAACAAAATTAAGTGCAAAACTATGACAGTTAAAATAGTTTTCATATTTAAAGAAAAACTTGCTATGTTACTTATTACTTTATGTATAGGTGGCATATAGCAGTAACTGAGATCTGCAAGTTAGAAATCAGAGCAAAAAAAAAGTTGAAGTCCAAAAAAAAAGAAATATGATTATAACAGCTACAAACAGAAAGGAATCCAACAGAGTGATTTTGATGCGGAAATACTGAGTTGTGCACACAGCAACAAATGCTTCATGAAAAGTCAGTCAAGCCTTTCTTGGATTTTAAAAACCTTCTTGGTTTCTATACTAGAAAGAGCTACAAGAAAAGCAGCCAGTACCACTCATGAATGTCTCTGGATGGAATGAAAACCCTGAGAGAACTCCCATAGTGTAACGGCATGAAAAAAAATAAGCAAAAAATGATAATAAACAGCATCTCTTAAAAGGGACCCCTGCCCAGACAGTCTTTTAACCAAACCGAGGAAATGAGAAATTGAGGCAGTAACTACCACACTGGCTTCTTCAATCCACTCCTATTAAGGGTCCCCAACACTCCACCCCACCCCTAAAAATCGGCTTGCTACCAGGAAAATGTCAAAAAAAAAGCCCGCTCTGCAAAGAGTGACCGCGGCTGCTTAGAGGGCGGCACCGCAGTTGAGGTTCCGGGAGATGCAGAAAACATGGAGAGAGCGGAGGCCTCTGTCTCATCCAGCCCAACCATTCAAACTTGGAGGCGGGGCCAGGGTGCGCATTTTAGCCACACCTCCAGACGCTTCTTTAGCCCGCTCAATTCAAAAACTACCGTTTAGTTGGATTCGGTGCAAAGCAAAACTGGAAAGCCGCCCAGAAAGAATGCGAGTTGGGAACAGGAAAGGGATCCCCGGGAAGGTACCAACCCTGCACGCCGGCCCGACTGCCGGGTGGCAATGGAAGTAGGAAACAGGAGGTCAGAAAAGATCCCCCGGCCCCCGAGACCCCTGCCCCAGGCCTCGCAGCAACCCCTGGAGGCTTCATCCTTACCAACGCGAGCACCGCAGCAGCTTCTCCAGACGGCAGAGCGCGGCGCGGCTGTGGGCCCAGGCCCCGCGAGCCGCAGGCTCCATGGCGGGCACGGGACGCGGCTGGTTCCCCGAACGGACCCTCGGCTGTCGGTTCCCCGGCATCGCCCCGCCTTCGCGGGAAAGACTCCTAACAGAGTGGGAGGCCGGGAGGACTTGGACAGGACGGACAAGCCGCAGACCAGCGGAATCGACCCCAACCCTGAGGTCCCCGCGTCTCTACTGGCCGGACGCCTAGGGGGCGGAGCGCAGGGCGCGCGGGACGGGGCGGGGCGGCAGAAAAGCGCTCAAAAGTCCCAGCGCTCGGGACCCAGGGGCGGGGCCTAGGACCTGCGGGCGGGACCGGTGGCTGACACTCTCGGTAGTCTCGACGCGTGGTTCGCAGGGACGGGGTCTAGGGGCGGGGCCGGGAGCTGAAATTTACAAGGTCGGGGGCCGGGGGCGTGGCCGTCGTTGCGCGCGGGTTCCTGGCGGGAAAGGGGCGGAGCCGGATAACGGGCGGGGCTGTCCGAGGGGATAACGCGGAGAATCACCCCAAAGTTCCAGCTTTCCCGGAGAGGGTTCTAGGGACCCTCGGGCGAATTTCACAACCGTTGGAAAAACTACAGGCCGAGATACTACTGATGGAACTTTAGTTATGAGGAGTGCTGTTTTGACTACTGTTCAACTTGGAAATGCTTTGCCCATGACAGTGAAGACGATACTCTATTCCTTTTTTTGGCTTTTCCTCCCCACACCCTACCTGTGGTGTATTAAGAGCCAAATAAAAATCGGGAAGGTTTCTGTTCTATCAGTTACAAATAATCTGCTCAAAGACATGTTTTAAAAGTTCTAGTTGACTTTTAAAATATGGCGAATAAAATTTCAAAAAACGTTCTTGTTAGAATGTGTCTGCCTTCCTCTTAAGGATCTTTCATTAGGTCAGGCGCGGTGCCTCACACTTATGATCCCAGCACTCTGGGAAGCCTGGGAGGGTAGATTGCCTGAGCTCAGGAGTTCGAGAGCAGCCTGAGCAAGAGCAAGATTCCGTGTCTAAAAAATTGCTGGGCGTTGTGGCAACTGCCTGTACTTGGGAGCTACTTGGGAGGCTGAAGCAAGTGAATCACTTGAGCCCAAGAGTTTGAGGTTGCTGTCAGCTATGGGGGCAACAAAGTAAAACTCTATCTCCCAAAAAAAAAAAAAGGTTCTTTCATTGATCATTGCATTGCATTTTACAAATTACACAAAACTACTTCATTTATCGCAGCTCCCCTGACCTATCACCAAATCTTTGCATTTCTCCCCCATTTTATCTCAAATCTACCTGCTTCTCTCAGGCTCTACTCCACAACGCCCCAGTCACCCCTTCCTCACCCGGATTGCTGCCTGAGCTTCCTCGCTGGTGTACAGGTATCCTTTCCAGTCCCTGAGGCTATCCTGTAGCCACCTCAACTTTTTTCAAATACAAAACTTATCTTAAAATTCTTTAAAGGGGCTCAGCACCCGTAGCTCAGGGTTAGGGCTCTGCATATACACCGGGACTGGTGGGTTCAAACCTGGCCTCCACCTGCCACACAACAATGTAAACTGCAACAACAACAACAACAAAATAGCCAGGCGTTGTGGCGGGCACTTGTAGCCCCAGCTACTTGAGAGGCTGAGGCAAGAGAATTGCTTGAGCCCAAGAGTTTGAGGTTGCCACAACACTCTACCAAGGGCAATATAGTAAGACTTGTCTCAATAATAATAATAATAATAATAAAACCCTTAAAGTTATTTCACTGCTGGGCCCTATACTAGCCTATTCTGAAAACATTTCCCAGCCATCACTGTCCCACCCTCCACAGGGCTTCACAGCTGGTCTTCACAAGAACCTGAACCTTGCTACCTCAAGACTTTTGGATCTTGGAATTGTCCTCTTCCCCATTCCTTATTGGGATCTGGGCTCAAATATCACACCTTCCAAGGTTTTCCTGATCCCTGGACTAGATTCTCTCAGGTGTTCCGTAGCACCAGTTTATGTGTGTATAGGTATATGTTAGTATCTGTGTTCCCCCTTCTGGTCTAAAACCTCCGAAAATCCAGAGACCTGCTGCATCTGACATGTTCCCCAACGTTGTGCCACATGGCATGTGTAGCGTTTGGCTCCAGTAGGTGCTCAATATTTGTCGAATCACTGCACTACCTGTAAGCCAAGCCCTGTTGTAAGCACTTCCCTATTTTTTTTTTTTTTTGAGACAGAGTCTCACTTTGTCAGCCTTGGTATAGTGCCATGGCATCATAGCTCATAGCAACCTCAAACTGGGCTGAAGCCATTCTCTTGCCTCAGCCTCCCAAGTAGCTGGGACT